CTCCTGATTGCAATTAAAACTGTTTATTTTATGATATGTCAAAGTAAAAGCTGCACATCGAACACTGAAAGCTTTGTCACATAAATGACCTGTGATACCGGAACCGGTTTTCCTAAAAAACCTTAGAGCGACCATACAACTATCTCGATCGATGAATATTTTCGAGCGATACCACAATAATATCACACGAAATTGCATTGGAACCATTGCCACGCAACAAGCATAATTTGTGCAATGAAAACTTTCAATTAAGCCTCAAAGCCAATGCAACTGAAATTATATAACCGTTCTGCGACCTGATAAATTTCAATGAAACAAAGTTGATCAAATTTAATGAAATTCCTCGGTATTTGGAACAATGTTCATAGATTAAATTATAACATTTATCAGAAAGTCGCTCTTGTTTGCCATTAGCGAGTTTTGGAATTGGTAGCGCGGCCGATAGAAGTTTTCACGTTGCGATACTTACCACATGTACAATTGAGGAACATAGAAAAATACATTTTTTTCGAAAAGACGACCCAAGAGAATTAATTTAAACACTGACCCATACGTCAGTGTCTGACGCGATTTGCCCCAAGAAAATAGACTCTTATATTAGGAAATTATTTTAAGACTAAACCATTGTATAGTTCTTTAAGGACAACAAAACAATTCTGGTAAACACCACTGAAGAAGCACACCACCGTGGTATGGTAATGCATTCGTGAGAACTTTTCCCCGTGCGAGACGTATCTGTTTAAAGTGTGGCCCGATGGTTTATGGGCAATTAATTAACGAGAACTGCGATTGAGTCTCCATGATTTATGTCGCGCTAGTGAACCTGAACAAGCATCACTATATAAATGTATATGTATGGGCGGGCCATCGTTGGTCTTAACGTTGAATATTTAATTTTTGTCTCATGAAATCAAAAGACATAAAGTCTATAAACGTGAAGTCTGCAGACAAAACAAAAACAAGATCATTTCAAATTGAAAATTCAACGTTAGGATCAACGACGGACAATAATATATGGTTGTTTGATCAGGTTCAAAAGATATAAGATTCGTAACCGATATATTTGAGATTATTGGGATTGTTTTTATCGCCGTAAACAAGAAATTTTGATGCTGCCTCTGTATATAAACCTCCCTGTATATTTTTTAAGGAAAATTAATTACCTTTGACTATATGCAACGCATCTCTATGACAAATATTTGGGTTTGCCCGAATTTCTGTATTCTAATGTATATATACTTTGGGTCAACAAAAGTTCCATCCTAAGAACTCAAACGTCAGTGCATTTACATCTCAGATTTCATACTGACAATGATTAGTAGAAGCAAAACATCGTTGAAAGTTCGACTATACTCTAAGTTTGTTATTCATTGAGTCCGGTCCGTGCTTCATTCGACGATAAGAAAAAGGTGCGATTTTAATCTATGATATTACATCAAATATTTAGTGCTTCGTTTAAAAAAATTTACACAATCCTTGGGAAATTTCATCATTTTAGATATTGTACTTAACATCAGTAAATCATTTTATGTTGAGTCGATATCTTCTTAATAAATTTATTTCTAGTTCAGTAGTTCATGCCGAGTTTGAAACATTAAATATTTTAGTGTACTTTGTATATTATAATATATATTTTGAAGTTCCAACACTCAGATTTTTGACTGTCACCTACCCCAATCAATCACACAGAATACCATACATGAACCGATCCAGTTCAAAATATTTCTACTAGGATTTGGAAAGGAACGTGATATTTCTCTGTGACTTTGCTTTACACGGATTTTTCCATTGACGTATATATAATAGATGGCAGATTATACATTGAAGTATGATTAGAGCGATTAGAAGGGATGTTATGTATAGGCTACGTGGTTGGTTATACCTCTTGAACTCCTTGCGTGTCAAGAGTCAAGACTGAGCTGCTCGACGGTCCGCTTTCAAGTCTATAAAACGAGTAAAATCTTCGTTGCGTGTATTATATTCTTAGATTAAAAATCTCACCGATAAAATTAATATAGAGACTATTAGAAAATTGGGTACTCCCGTAGTGTTTGTACCAGGTTAGAATTAGGCCATAATTTTATTCCGATTTTCCTTATTTTAGTTCTATTACGAGTTCGGGAACTGTCTGTGTTAGCCGCCCATAGGTTTGAGTCCCTTTACACAACTTGATTTAAAATAGGCGGAAAAAATTAGTTACCTCCATATTGGTACACACACTTCTGAAGCGCCAAAAATTGATAAAACAGTAAAATTATTTAACTCAAATGTGCATGTTCCCAGGGATTCCAAGTCGAATGCCCAAATTTCGAATACCCCAAAATCAAAACGCAGCCAGCCAGTTAAAATAAAATATCAAATTCTCATTGTCATTTGATTGAAACATTTACAAATCGATTTCTTACACTGCATACGGGTTCACTAATAGTAGAACGTTGGAATGAATGATGTACGGACTAATTGCGTGAAACTCGTTTTTTATGTGTTTGAATTATTTCCTAGCCTCGATTGTATTCCGATGCTGCCAATATTCATGCTTCACGCTGTCGGGATAAAAGATCCTCAATCACGATTTGAATTCATTTCCCATGCGTTTGAAGCAATCGATGCTTGAGAGACATTTAGGTATAAAGTGTATAGCATTGTCTGCTTTCGTTTTAATTCGTGCTCGTATGCCAAACAAAAAGGGTGAAGCTTGCTATAAACTTCTGTCTTGTTATACTGCTATCGTTTCAAATTTTTTCAGCAGTTGATAGTTTTCGTCGATTTGCCCAGGAACTAGATGAAAGTGAGTACTTCTGATGTTATATGTTATTTTAAAACTTTGTAATTATCATTATTTCCTTATTTTTGTACGATTGACTTTCACTGATCGGAACAAAAAACTTTGCTCGACTTCTTTTCTTCGGTTCTGACAATAACAAAATTTACATTATTTCATACGTGCTTATTGAATTCAGAATGATTCAATAAACCTCATTCATTCAAACCCATTACACGTGTGCCGTAAACGGTGCATAAACTAACAAATCAATAGATTGTGATCATCAGAACGTTTCGTAGTTTTGCCGCTGAACTTGACAAAGTTCACATCCTTCAGATATGTCCTTCATTTTCCAAGATATATATATTAGTTAATTTTTTGTTATATGATTTCAAAGACTGGAGGGTTTTCACTTGGAAGATTGAAATCGCTTGGAAAATTTACATGCTAATAATACCTTCAGGAGTATTTTCACTAAATTACCGGCTGCTACTCAGGAAAGAATTATGCCAATATAGCTTAACCATATGACGATCTGCAAATATTTTAATTAAATATCTCATGGCGGTCAATATCTCATAAATATCTCCCTCAGTATCCTTTCTGTAGTTCATTTGACCTCTCGATATGCCTACTCATTTACGTCTATAACGATCGGTCATGCTTTATAAATAGATCCCATACGTTTTTTCCTGCATGCATTGGAAAACTGTTGATGATTTTCTAAAATATTATCAATGCCACTTGAAACACTGTCATTTATGGAACTTGTCCTATAAGCGCAAATTCAATTCATATATTGTAAATAAGATTGGACATTCTAAAAAGTCTTTTAAATTCCTTTATTTTACGAATCTGTTCTGATTATTGACACGCGTTGTGGGTGTCTTAATTCATCGAAAGCGGAATGCTGTGGAACAAAGTGTTGAGATATATATGTCGTCTCTATTTGCTAAAGGCCATGAATATTTTCTTGTATGTCGACTTCCTGATCTGTGTAGCAATAACCAATCAAACAGTAGTAACTTAACGGCAATAAAACAATTTAAAATTTAGCAGCTTCTCAGAAACTCTCACTCGGACAGATTTTCAAGACAGATTTCTGATTGTAATATTGACCCGTTTTGGTTGTTTCAACTGCCATTTGCCAGTTTTTGATTTAGTGTCGTAATTGAGGCATAAATCAAATACCTTGTTGATCATTTTGCCTTTGGAAGAGTTTCAGATTTTGGTTGCGGTAGTATATTTCGAAATAAAATAGTCATTCCAAAATCCACGCTGTAAATCGCTAAAATAATCACAAAATGAGCTTTAAATATTTTGCAAAGATAGAATTTTCAAAGTATAGGAAGAATTTGAATGGGGTAAAAAGTAGTAGAGTCGCCCTCTATTAAAAGAGGAACCAATCAACTAATCACTCACATTACCTTTCTGATCCGGTTAAAGATAAATTATGCCATTGTTTAAAACTGAATTATATTGAACCAAATTGTATTACTTATGGGGTTACGAGCATATGGAATTGTACGTTTCTTTTGATAAGCAGGCAAAATGATACATATAATATATAACCCTTACCGTATTACCAAAGTGAATGAGATGCAAGAGGGGTTGATACATTGGAGTGTTTTCTTGGCATTTCAATTTTCTTTCTTCTTGCAATCTAATGCCATCTTCGTGCTTCTCGAAGAAGTTTTATCAAGTTCAATTGGAAATCATGTTCGTAAAATCAACTAATTTTACTTTTGACTGTTTACCTCAATTAGTTTATTTATGTTGACATTCATTTTTGAGATAAGATTAAGGAGGGACAACATTACTTTTGGTGGAAAATGTTGCTAATGCTAGGGATTCATAAAAAGTCAATACCAGGGCGTGACGATATAAATTATTAAATATCTTTAGACGAAGTGAACAAGTATCAACCTGAAAATGCAGGATTTTTGTTATTTGAAGGTAAATGAAATTGATTAATATGCATTTTAACTATACCAATTTTGTTTCATTATTGCTTTATGTCTCGACTTCAGATCCTCAATTAAGCATTGAAAAGCCCAATAAATTAGAAGGACGTAAATATTGAAAGTTTATTTTAGTAGATTGACGAGTAGCTTCTTTGTCGACGACAATTGTTCATATGTTTAAGTTATGTACTTTAAAAGTTTGTATACATTATATTTAAACCAGTATTAATTTTGCTTCGATGAAATCGAATTCAAACACGAGGTGGAACTAAAAGGGAGGAAAATCGAATAATACCGAACATAGCATGTTTACACGCGGGCTACATTCATCTTACAATAACTGTAACCCCAACAATCGTATTGAAGAAAGAATTTCCACAAAACCTTTATATCAATTGTGTGTTCATTACCCAAACCTGAACATCAATTTTAAATGTTGAAATATATATGGTGTTTTTAACTTTTATAGACGGGCTATTCAAAACTAAAATGAAGTTTGCTAAGCTGGTAGTGCCCATTCTATTTGTGTGTATTTTCGACGGCCAAGCGTAATGAAATGAACTTTTGAGGCATGTGAGGCATCCGAAATTAACTGTTTAACTGTCTAGTCTTATGAAAGATTGCTTTCCATTCACGTACTTTAGGGTGGAAATATTTCACAATAATCCATCATTCCAGAATTTACCTATATGCGTTGCACGATTTTAGTTGTTTATCACCATTTTTCCGTTTCTATTTAATGTGCTTTCATATGGCGTTTCAAGAACAGCGCGAGTTGACGACATATTTTCTGAGCATTGCTCTTTTTCTCCATCATTTTACTTATAATACGCATTATCTATGTTCTTGTTTGTTTAATTTGACATTATAGAATATTAGGCGAACAATTATGAATCTACCGATCTATATTGTTTTAACACAAGTTTGAATGATGCTCCTTTTAATGACCACAGGTTTAAAGTACTTGCTGCTGTGTTTAGTCTAAAAGTCATTTCTCTACATAATCCTATTTATTTTAGCCCTGATGATTAGTTTTTTCCCACCAGTTTAAAAATCATTAAATATACATTTGACAAATGTATTACGTAATAATATTTCTGGTATCTTTTTTGAATTTATTTTTGTCCACAACTCAGCTTAAATGTGAACTTCCAGAGACAGTACCTGAACTCGACGTTGACAAGGTATGAGTTTATATAATTCACTGAAAACTTCGCGACTTTCCATTGAAATATTTTTCATCGTTTTTCTTTCCTTCTCAAGTTAACTTACACAAAATGGTACACTGGACTTCAGACAGATGATCCAGCTAGTAATAATGTGAAATGTGAAGAAATTGTGAGCATGACAAAAACTAGCAATGGATATGACTCGGTGTTGAGAAGCTACACTGAAAGGTAGAGTCGTTGTTATAAATTTTACAGTTATAATTACGGTTGGTATCTGTTGCATACTTTAGCAATCAGGGCATGTTGTTTATCAAACTATGTGTAGCGAACAGAGGTAACTGTAAATATTATTTGTTTGATACCTTTTGATTCCTTAGAAAAAACTTCTCTATAGGATGGTTTGGAAGCATGTTGTGCATTTGAGATAAATCATATATCAGTGACCGCAACATGTCGTATCGTAGTAACAGAGCTGCTCTAAGTTGTTTTCGGTCGTGTTTCCTCGTTTTGAACACGTTGATTAAAAGTAAAATTCTAAAGTCGATAACAACTCCGGCTTCAATATTTATACCATTATATTAGAATATAGGAGTGGATTTTTGACCTGGCTGTGAAATGCGATCCTATGTAACTGGTAATTTCACAATTTCGTTATATGAAAGAATTTATACTCTTTTTGAACGAGTCACATTCACATGCCATACAAGACTATTTGTCCAAATGTTGTTCATAGTGAAATACTTCTGATTTCTATTCAATTTTTTAACCTACAAATATTAAGCAAAAAATTCGTCGAATGGACCTCACATTTGATTCGTCAACGAGCGGGAGTGTTTAAAGAAACCCGATTGGACGGCGGGGAGTTGGATATATGTACACAAATACCCAAGTAAAATAACCCTTACGGAAATCCGCAAAGATAATTTTGCCAAACATAGAATTTGGTCCGCCGAGCGGAGTTTTTCAACGCAAATTCTGGTTAGACATATACATACATTCACGTATGCCATCGGCATGTTGTTTTTAAATCTAAACAGCCAATTCTGACGTTGATTCAAATTTTTGTTATAAGACAAATGTATTTGTGAAGATATTTTGTTAATTAGATAGATATGCGAAAGTGATGCGAAATTAACTCTTTATTGTTACTTATCGATTTTAATCGGTAAGTATGTTGATAGGTCTTTGTCTGTTTGTCTGTTAGATGCACGCGATATCTCACGAAAGCGAGATTGAATCTGCTTCAGATTTTGCATGTGCATTCATCATATGGATGAATTATGTCGTATAATCAGCGAGTTATTAATTAATTAGTGATGGGACACAAGGTGTCTCTATGGAGTACGAGCGCTGTTTTGGGGGATCCCCTAACTTTCTATCGATAAGTCTTTGGTCTCTGACCGATATTCTCGTTTATGCATTGGAAATTATAGTATTCGCTATCATTTCACGCCATGCAATTGGCATTTCATCAGTTATACCAAATATAAGTTTTAATTAAAATGTTTCATCTTTCTTGATATTTTTCTAGATGTAACAATGATGAACGCCTACGCTCAATTGGAAAACAAAACTCTGAACACTGTGGTTTACAACCTGGGTTAGTTTGTAAATAAATGAATGTCAATAACTAAAATAGAATAGAATTTTTGCTTTTCCTTCAATAATTTGTTTTCAGTTAATTGGAAGAATAACGACATTTCAACAGATATATATATATACTACTAGCACTACTACGAACTACTAGCATTTCGTGAAAGTTAATCCAATTTTTCAATCTTAGTTTGATGTTTGGTGACATTAGTATAACAGTAATGTCTAATTTGACCATTTCTTACTCCACGTACGATCACATTACCTAATATATAAACATTACAAATGATTGTTATTTGAAGTTCGAGATGATCTTGAGAAAGACGAAATCATATTCATCAGTGATTATCGGAATTATCAAGCCGGAATACTTTGTACGCTTCAAGGTTAGATTTTTGAACAATTTTGTGTATGTATGTAAGAGATTTATGACTACAAATAAATACTGTGCTTGCTAGTATCTAAAGCATGACCTTGTAAGAGATCGAGATTTACCTCATTGTATTGTATTTTATCAATTTACTAAATATAGATAGGTTACCTTTGGTAGGAATTTTGCATAAAGATAGTACCTATCTTTTCAGGACATTGGATTATAAGGGTCTATTTTCCCTCTCCGACGCCGACTGTGACGAATGTTGTAGCGTTCTTCAACGAAATGCATCGATTGGGAATCTCCACTCGGTTACTCTTATCAGAATGTTGAATATATATTTGAATATTTAATATATATGCCCAGTATCTCAAAAATAATATATAGTATCTCATGAGATATTGGTAAACATAATGAAATTGAATATTTTCATTTAACAATGCATACTCGAATGCATTAAAACATTTAGGCTGGTATGCATATTCCAGTAAAATTAAACTACATTCTCTTATACATCTTAAAAGTTAGATTAAGGATTCTATGTATAGTGACAATCATTTGAAATTTGAAAACTGTTACATTTATTCAGAATATTATTAGCAGGGTAATTTTTGATTGCATTAAATATACAATTATACATGGCCTGGTAGTTTATGGGTAAAATATATAGTCCAACATGTATCGCATTGGCGTCTATTCAATAAGTGCGCATTCTGTCGCAGGGGTATTAGCATATTCGCATTTCTAGGAAGCAGTGGGGAACGCTTTGAATTTGTAACATTTCTGGTCGTGCTGAATACACTTTCTGATGGGGCACGCGTATCCCATCGCACGAACGGATAGAGCTAGAAGCTCCTGATCGCAGTTAAAGCTGTTTTTCTTTAGGATATCTCAAAGTAGAAGCTGCACATCAAACACTGAAAGCTTTGCCACATAAATGACCTGTAATAACGAAACTTGTTTTACTAAAATACCTCATATGTCCGAAGAACGATGCATATATGTGTCTTGCAGTAGATCGGCCATACAACTATTTCGATTCATAAATAATTTCGTGCGATACTATAATAAGATCACACGAAATTGCTTTGGAACTATTGGCACGCAACAAGCTTAAATTATAACTTAACGTGGCAAACGTCACACTGCGGTTAACCGGGTGAATTTTGTCTCGGTTAACCGTTAAAGCGTTTTCCTTCAAATTCTCAGCTCTGGTGATGAGTAATCAGTGATCATTTATTTCGTCATCATACCAAAAATACAGATTGTACGAACAAAATGTATTAAAAACCTCACCTATAAAAAGGTCGTACATTAAATTATATAAGGATATAGAGCAGACCATTACATAGTCAAAGAATTTGGCGTATCAATACGTTTCAAGCGACCTGATATTTCCAGTATTGCTCGTTTCACTAATAAACAGTAGATGATGTTCAAATTTATGGACACGAAACCAAAACGAGGTAGTACGGGTATGCAATCTGACACAATATACCAGCGGTTCCCAACCTTTTTCATGTTGCGGCACACTATACTGGCTATTTAAATATTCGTGGCACACCTATCACAAAATAAGAACATTTCCTACTCTTGAAGCCATTTAGCTATAAAACAATAATAACATAGAAGATCAGATGAGGGAAGTTCTATTCTTGTTAATACAACATACCCTGTATTTAAAATGGATGGGTAATAGTTAACGATATTATACCTGTTTTCTTACAAAAATGTACACGAGACCCACCTTCGAAGCACCTCACATTATGGTAAAAGATGCGCGGCCGCACGGGTAATACGTGACGTTTTTCTCGCCCTTCCCCGTTCCACGTTACGCCTCATTATTATCCCAAGTATTCTCACTCTTGCACAACCTATTTCATTTTTGTTACAATTCAATATGTTTCTCCCATTGCCAAAAACATTCAATAGTGTTATTGTCGGCACTTGCGAGAGGTATGAAAGAGGCAAACAACCCGTATTTCATTACAACAATTAAATATTATCGCTAAAAAATACTGTAATAACAGTGTCCGCATTGCTTGTTTCATTGGCTCAGTTGGTTATTTCTTCAGTTCATTCTGTACATTCTAAAAGTAGTCTGTACATAATAAGAACAATTGTGAAGTTGTTATGAACTATTTTCATCGATGGACGAATCTTTTCACGTTATGAATTTCGTGCAAGGTCCGAGCATAATTTGATGGCAAAGATCGTAGCATTTACTGTGTGGATACGTTTATTCGACCTTTCAGACCGCAGAAACTATTCAAAAAATAACCGTTTCTGTGTTCGAAATAGCACAAGGCGTTGATTTCTAATATTTTTCTACCCCGATGGACTGGTATAATCAAATAAAAACACCTGTAGGACATGATATCATCATATTGAGTGCCTTTTATTTTGCTTGAGTTTATTGTGTTGTTTTTGGCTGCAAGAAACGCTTCGAAATGATAAAATAGGGGGAACTAAAGCTTTTGGATGGGAACGTTTGAATTAATATATATTTTTTGCGAAACGAAAGCCTTTTTAATTATGATGTATGTGTTTCTGATAATAATTTAATAAAAATTTATCTCTAAACTTGGGTCTTACGTGTATTTACTAATGAATCGACAATTATGTAACGAAATTTGTAGTCATATACCCATCAAACATCAACATCCATAAAAAGGTACCCTCGTAGTGTGTGTACCAGGTTAGGTTAGGCCATTAATATATTCCGATTTTTCTTATTTTAGTTCTATTACGAGTTCGGGGTCTGTCTGTGTTAGCCAGGTAAATATACTCCATGCCCAACGGTTTCAGTCCCTTTACACATCTCGATGTAAAGCAGGCTAACAAAATTAGTTACATCATATTGGTACACACAATTTTGGAGCGCCAAAATTACCAAGTATATAGCGTTGCGGTGGAAGGTAGCAAAAATTGTATTTTAGACTCAAAATCAAAATTCAATAAAGATTTTAAGTTTCGCACTTCAACATCTGTCCACTTTTGCGCTTTACCAAGTCACAGGAAATGACTAATTTCGTCCTTCCTAAAATTTGTCGGACCTTTGGCATTTTTTCGAATAATTTGGCGTTTCCACCACTTAGGTTAGCATTCTTAATTTCAGAGTCATGCATTCTTCACTCTTTCACTATATAATAAATACAATGCGCATTTTTCATGCAATTTAATTTCATCAGTAAGACCGATATACTTGAATCATTATTTTCAATTTATTGATATCACAACACAAATTGGTGTATAATATTAATATATATTACCGTTGCAATATCAAGTCGGAGACAATTGTATTCCCGACGGACAGGACGATACGATTTCCAATGTAGAATTATAATAGAATCCAAATAGTTAATATGCTTTCAAACTTATCAACTTACTATTGATATGAAAGGGTGTTAATATTAATCCACAAAAAATGCTTTACATCCAATACTCAATTATAACATAACAAGTCATAAAAAGCAGGAAATTATTCATTCAATATCACAAATATTATGTAATGCTTCTTCGTTTACCCTGCTGACAAAACATTGTTAAGATGTTTTGAAGACTTCGTTACATGCTTCCCTGAACATCAGTGCTTGATTCTTCGATGAAAGAACTGAACTATATCAAAATCCAGTAAGCCGCGTGAAAATATTTGAAGGCGCTTGCAAAAGTTGCTTCCAAAAGTTTTTTAATTTGGTTTCAAACGTTTAATGTTCAATATGAAAGTCAAAATGAAAGTATTAGGAGACTAATACATTAGAAACATCTCTTCACCTTCCCGTTATTCAATTATAAATAATGGTGCTCTGAATAAATGCGCTAGTACTCGTATGCTGAGTCGATCATTTTTATTGAGTTCGTGCTCAAAAGATTGTTACTGTTTTAAATCAGTAGTTCAAAAATCTAAACGCAGTCATGCACAATCACACGTGTCAAATTCATGTTCATACTCCGTAAGCATTTGCTACTTCATTTTTTACACTGAATTAATGAATAAATTAAAGTAAACATGATCATATTTATTATATTACTCAAATGTTGATACGTTTATTGCAATGATTCGCGCCGGGTCACATAAACAATATTATGGGTCCACATTGTGAGCTGTAGTCAGAGGTTCCCCATACTTGGCCTATGAACAAAAAAAGATGCAGCACATTGTGCAGCACTGTCGATGAGGTTGCAGAGATATGGAAGCTCATTGCGGAGAGAAACACTCTGACTCCGTTTTGTGGATAAGCAATTTCAGGACATTGTTGATATATAAGGAAGAATACTAATGACATTGTATTCTCTATACGACATTCTATATTGGCTCGGGTTTTATTTCACTCTCAATGGTTTATTGAGTCACGCGATCACAATTTAGACCGCGGGAATTTTGCACAAGGAATTCGTTTCATATTCGGAAAAGTCCTCAGACCGAGTATTTCAACATTTTCCATTACAAATTTGCTATTTGTTTGTCAGACAAAATTCCCGCATTTACTCTGATAGGCTCGATACAAGAGGTCGAATTATTTTAGAGCTAAATTAAATTCCCCGCATTTCCTTTGATAGGCAAGATTGAAAGACCAAACATCTAGTGTAAGATTAGATTAGGATTGTCACGTGAATAAAACATTTACGTACACGGGCTGGTTCACTGACACTATAAAATTGAAATAAATGAAACAAATTGTGTGGAACTCGAAGCAAGCAAGACTTATATATGTGTTTGGAATTAATAGCCAAATACGTCTTTACTCCGATTCCCCAACATGAAAAAATCCAGAAATATTGATAATCTCAAGATTTTTAGACTTCAATCATGTTGTGAATTCATGCTTTACATCGTCTGGATAAAATATCCTCAGTCACGTTCTAGATTCATATTTCACGTGTATGAAGCAGCTGATGCTTAAGACATTCAAGTATAAAGTGTATAACATTGTCATTGTATGCAAACAAAAAGGATGAAGAAGACGATATACTTCTGCCTTGTTATACTGCTATCGTTTCAACTTTTTCTAATATTTCATGGCTTTGCCCGGCATACCCATAAGCTGGATGGCAGTAAGTACTTTAACTATTATCGTTATCGTAAAAATGTGTACATTGCATACAAACATGGCAAAATGAAGAAACATGACCAAAAATGGAAAATGTTTGTACAATGATTTTCTTTATATGAGTATGCGTGTGTATTTTTTATGATTAGTGATTAATAATGGAATAACTGTCTCGATCAACTGTGTTTATATATTGATAGATATAAAAAAGAAACTGTGTAATTATCATTTTCTCGTAATTTACGTATGATTGACTTTTTACGGGTCAGAAAAAATTAACTCGACTTGACTAATAAATCTTAGAGCTTGTGTAATAGATTGTGGTCAGCAGAGCATGAATTTTTCTCTTCGTAGTTTTGACGCGAAGCTTGACAAAGTTTAGTTCTTTTAAATATATATTTTTTAAATTTTATGATATAAATGGTGGTATTTTTATGATATGATTTTGAGAGTTAGAGGGTTTGATATTTTCCCTTCGAAGATTGGATTTGCTTGAAAAAATGGTATCGTGTCAATATTCCAGGAGTATTATTCGTTAAATTATTGTCTCCTTCGGATATCCTCAGCAAGCCGATAAATACCAGTTTTTGCTGCTTGCACAATGGGTTATGTCAAGTCCAACTAGAAATCAGTTGGGCACATCAACTAATGTTTTATTTTTCAAATGTTTTCCTTAATTAGTTATTATGCCGATATTTATTTTCTATGATAGACGTTTGGCTATGAAGGCATAACATTATTTAAAAAAAAACTAATATGCTTCTAATTGCTAGTGTTTCATAAAAATTCAATATGTGTCGGTATAAATTATCAAAATTTTTAGGCGAAAAGCATCAGTATGAACTCGAAAGTAGAGAATTGTCACTATTCGAAGGTAAGATGAAAGTGGTTACCTATATATTTTAATTTTACTAATCCTAATTTATTCATACTTTATGTCTTGCCATCAGATATTGAAGTCCTAAAAAGTTCAATAAATTGGAAGGGCATAGAAACTGAAGTTTTATTTTTGTTGATCAACTTGTTTCTGACAAGTATAACTTACTTTTCTGTTAACGACAATTTACAAGTTTATTTACAGATATAATTGCATTCATCTTTGCTAAATCTATTAAATTTTTAAACCTTATTACTATTGTTTATTTAGATGAAGCCGAGTTCGAGCCAGAGGACAATCTAGAATCGAAGAAAATCAAATAATATCAAATTCGCGTATATATATAATACATATTATATATCACAACTGTGAACTTAACAATAGTGTTTAAAGAAGAAATATTCAGAAAATAATTTTATCAATTTGTGTCTATTACGCAGATCTGATCATCAATTTTGAATGTTGAACATGTATGCTCTCTTAGATTTTATAAACGGAGTATTTAAAACAAAAATAAAGCTTGCTAAGCTGGTTGTATCAGTTAGATTTATTTATATTTCGGACGACCAGGTGTAATGATGGACTGTTGAATCATGTGGAAATGAACTGTTCGGATCCGAAATTCAATCCAATAGTCATGATATATAGGGGAAAGTGGCTAAAATTGGGACACTTTTTCTTTTGCATTCTTGAGCTTATATCCTGCACATTTATTTGACACTGCGGAACTGATGCAATGAGGGGTGAATGTAGTTTGTTTTTATTCGGCGACTAATTAATTCCCTAGCAACACAAATCTTACCACCAAAAGACTGAGATGACGAAATTTTAGTTCCAACTCCCCCAGGTCCAATTTCATATCATAACTTTATCCCGGGGAAAAAGGAAAGCAAATAAATAGACCTACTTAATACTATGGCGTTCCATGGCTGAGCATATCTCTGCCCCTATGGTGGGACACACCACCCTGGTTCACAATGGGCCTCCTTCTGGCCTCCCGACCAGCGTTTACGTGACTCACATTACGGCACAGGATTAGTAAATCCACGCAGGTTTATTAGAGGTGTGATGGCATGCGTATTTCTAACGCTTAATAGTGATGCGCCATACCACAGACCACAATAATATATCCATATATCATATAATAATATACTGTATTTTCCAGTATAAGGAATCTGAATACTGTATAGATATTTAACCATATATTTGAATATTCACTATAAGAAAGAAAATGCCGTATATAGTCTATATCTACACTCTAAATGAAAAAAGTGGTAATTCCCACCGAAATATTTGGTTCACAAGGTTTTCTACTTCTTCCACCCTTTGGGTAGGTGTTTAACATTTCCACCCTAACAACCCCACCCAAATCGATAGGAAGATCAACCTTCTTGCAAGCCTGGAAACGTACTATAACCACCCAAAGGAAACATGAAACCACGACAGGTTTTCAAGATTCAAACAATTTATTAAAACAGTAAATATTCGGCGAAATTAGGTCGTAAATAAATACAGTCGTAATGAGAAAGTCAAGTTACGCCTTTTTTGTTTTTTGAATGGGAATCCTTCATTTGGCAGAAGCAGTAGACATGCTGTGATGAATGTCAAGCTTTTCTGCTACCTAATGGTATTTGTAGATTGAAAATCCTGTAACAAGAGTCAGTAATCAGTAATTTAATTCTTCACCAAGCTGAAAGTACGAATTATACATACACAAATAAAGGAAATATAAAAGACCGCATTCCAGGGTGAAAGGAGACGCCGAAAACCAATTCTGGTTATCGAGCGGCGGCACCCTCGGGGAAGTCTAACAAAAACGTGATAAATATAATTAAATCGAACAAAATATATTACTTAATAAATAAATAAAGAAACGCAATCGATGCGTCAAGGCGACCCGGTGAAAACCAATCACTGCCATTGCTTTTGTGTAATTAAAGCTTCCATTCGAACTGTGATCTAGTGATGATCCAGAGCTCCTCATTGGAATGGACTTAGAATACACAAAAAAAAGATTAGATGAGTATGTCTTTTGCAGTAGAAAAACGGTCGCATGTTAACTTTGAACATATTCAATAAAAATGTTTCCAACTGAATTGGAGTCCTTGTACTGGACAAGTAATTTATGATAGTAATTTACAAAAGTGGTGAACAACACAGACTAGCTATTTTTTCAGTTTGTCTTCTTACCAAGGTCATATTGAAATAGACGAATTTTACTAAACTAAGTTATATCCCAATCCACTAGGGCTAGACATAAGTATTGATTCTAACTCTTCATGATTTTAAAGCATAGAGTGATATCATCATACATCTACATATAGGCTATATAGAATCAAAAATTTCAACAATATGTTTGTAATGATGACATTATTTCATTCATTCTCAACACTGTATTTTACACCCAAATACAACGCACTAGATTTAAAAACATGTACCAACCTATCAGTTGTTCACTGCTCATCTGCTATATTTCTCCCATTTAGTTTCTCTGCTATTAGCTACTTGTGAGTTCCAATACTGTGATCATCTTCATTTTCAAGAAAATCAACATCCTGAATAGAAAGTTATTTTCAACGATATGTTTGTAATGGTGACATTATTTTATTCATTTTCGCATTGTATTTTACACCCAAATACAACGCACTAGATTTAAAAACATGTACCATTATTAGACTTGCATATCGCCGGATGAGAACAGAAGGGGCCTAAATCACATTTTTGGAAAATTCATCTTTTTTCAATATTTTGGGGTTTTGAGCCATGCTCTACAAGGTGGATGGTCTTGAAATCCTGAATTTCTAAATAATAAAAATTTCAGCTGGACTTAGGACTATAATATTTTGTACTATAATATTTTGTAGAAGTTAAGAACAGAATGGGCCTAAGTCCAGCTTAAATTTTCATTATTGAGAAATTCTGGATTTCAAGACCACCACCGTGTAGAATGTAGAGCATGGCTCAAAACCCCAATGCTCAGAACCCCAAAATATTGAAAAAAGAGTCTCAAGTTCCAGTATGATGAGCATGAACATCAGAAATGAAATGTCCGAAACTTACATCCCTAAAAAAGTATTCAGTGCAACTTAGGCCTAAGTCACCTTGTTTTACTTTGCATCCCATACAAAAAATTCAAAAGTTGTTGAGAACAGAATGGGCCAAAATCCTTTATGGGGGTAAAAAAGCTGGAAGGAATTGGAGCTGAAGTGCCAAAAAATATCGATTACAAAGATATTCTCATCCACACTAAAATAACCAGAGCTCAGGTATTTACTAAGTGTGAATATTTAGGAATTCGAAAATAAAAAAATTATGAATTGTTTTTTGCATTTTTCTCAAAACTCGAAATTGTGACTAAGGCCTGTTCTGTTCTCATCCGGCGATATATTTATTGCATAAAATAACAAGACTCACCTATGAGTTGTTCACTGCAGCACTGCTCATCTGCTGTATTTCTCTCATTAGTTCCTCTGCTATTACAGTATTATCTACTTGTAAGTCCCAATACTGTGATCATCTTCATTTTCAAGAAAATCAACATCCTGAATAGAAAGTTATGTGCTCAGTAGGCTACTAACAAAATGTATGATAGCTGATAAAATTGTGTAATTCCAAGTTGAGCACAAAAAAAAAATAAATTGTTCCCGCTCGACTCACCAAACATGTTATAAACAGATAAATAAGCCCAATACAGCAATAGCCTGTACAGAATCCTTTTGGCAAGTTTGGCAAATCAAAATTAGTTGAGCTAGCTCCCGTTACTGGTAAGAAGTTCAGAAGTTAGACTCGCAATATAAGTTACGGTACTGATAACGTTATATTTCTGTATTTACCGTTATAGGCTATATCCTAGTATTATCTAGTACTGGTCACTTGACATTAGCAAACAAAGCTTTGGTTTGCTTGACTGGCAACGTTAGCTGAACGCAATCTGAATCCACATGAACACTGTAGGCTAATAGTAGTAGTGGATTGACTGATCGATTGTTTAATTATGGCTAGATTAAGGTACCGGTACTACTACTAGCCTATAATTTCGCGTTTTGTTTATCAGCATCAACTTAATAATTCGAAATCTTACCTGTACCAGCAAGCTTAAACCGCCAGACCTCTCCACACAATGTAAGTTTTCCACATATTGTAGCTTGAGACAAGTTCAACACATACTGTGCCCACCCACTTATTCTATCTATTGAAAATTGGAGTTGTTTACCGCGGACAGTCTGTTATGCACAGAGTTTCATCGAAGCCTCGGCAGAGTCAAGTCACCGCGCATAGAAATATTCGAAACGATTTCAGCCAATAGCGTTCAGCCTTATCACGTCGTCACAGTCACCTCAATATCACGTGACATGACGCGTCATGCATTTCCACCAAGTTTAGTGGAGAAAATGTTTGGTAACACACCCTGTGAATGCATTAGCACGGTGTATATAAAATTATGCAACGAAATAAGGCGGAAAATTTATCACTACACCCCAATGGAGGGGGTGGAAATGGCAAATATCCTCTTTTTCTGTTAGGAGTGTAGAAATAACCACAATTTATTTATTTACTCAGAGTACAACAAAAACAATTTATAAAAATTCTTCAAAATTTCACTATTCTCTGTATATTTCAAAAACCTAGGAATAAAATTTAGTTTGTTCAATTTATCTGAACATTTTTGAACGAATGGATTTTTTGTCTCTCGCTAGAACAATTTGCTCCTATTCTTTGCTGCAAATTTTAAGTAATAAATACTGGACAAATTTAATATGATTCAACAATATTGCTTTACTTCAATCCGCGATGTCAGTGTAATCAGTGGTTAGTTATTTCGTCATCATATCAAAAATACCGATTGAACGGACAAAATAGGGTAAAAACCTCACCTATGAAAAAGTCTTACATTAAATTATATAAGGATATAAAGCAGATCATAACGTATAGTCCTGCAGAATCGGGCCTTAACATTGTTTTGGGACATAAAGTTTTTTTTTTGTTTAGATATAATGTCGATGACATAAATAATGATACCCAGGTGGGTGTGGAGTATATAATGTTGAGCATTTTTTTTAAATGGATTTCAAGTATTCGTACCAAGATGACGCACAACCTGAATCATAACCTGGTACACATGCAATGTTCAGGATGTGCGCCATCTTGGTACGAATACTTCGGGAGCACCTTTTCGGTAAAAACAATTATTTCATAACTACATGGGTTAGTTTTGAATACATAGTAACATTGCATCTCATTACAATGTCAGAAATTCAATTTTAGTAGAATAAATTGCAGTTTATTTCACTAATATAAGCCAAGATCCATCGACAGCATCTAGCCACTTTTTTGCGCTCGTCAAACTACATTTGTGTTGCTGTGGGCATTTCGTTTCCTGCTTAAAGCTTAGGGACCTGGGAAATATTTTATTAGTTGGAATGGATTGGAATATTCGACCTCGTCTTTCACTCCGAACAAGGCTATGTAAAACCATCCACTGGTATCTAACGATGTGTAACGTATTTTCTTTTGGAAGAACCGGAACCTTTCAGGTGCAGCATCGACTTTGGCCTAATTTATATATCCTTGTGGAGATAGAAATTCGTAAATATTGTATTATATGTTAGTATAGGATTTTTAAATTCAAAATGATCAAAGGCGCAAAAGACCACTGAAGTTATAAGCGCCATAAAACATAACAACAACAACAACAACAAGGTATGCGTATGCGAAACCGAGATGTGCACCTGTTATGCCAACATAGTTGAGTCAAACATTTTGATCACTAGTACATCACACACATTTACCTGCGTGCTTCGGTTGTACGTAGTAACGCGCACATTTTTGCGAACATGCATCAAATTCCACTTGTTTATTGAGCTATAGGTTTTTGACGAGCTTTTGTGTATGATTTCATTCCGTAGAATTTGTATGCTGTTTTAAAGAATACTAGTTTCAGCTTTTTTATTCATTCAAACCGCGTGTTGGAAGTAAGTTTTGTAATACTGCGTGTTGGTTTTCAAGTGGTTTATTCATATCCATCACTTGACATCCTTAAATCGGTGATGCCAGTAAATCTTTAATACGAAAAAATCAGTATCACCTGCAATAAAAACAGCAGCACCTACTCAAATGACAGCTGGGGGATGGATGCTCATATTATCTGCTCCATCGCGCGCCTCTTACCAGTTTACATGAGTGCCTAAGCTCAGCCAGAGACAAAAAGTTTCGGACTGCGGTTGGCGTGACGAAATGTTTTTAAATATATATTCCACAATACGATTATTTGATGCATATTACTGAAAGTTACGCCTTATATGTCTTTTCCCATTGCACTATTCCTTTACTGATATTCAATAATATGACGCTCATCTGACATAGTTTTTCAAGTGTGTAGATAGGTATAATCTTTTCCACGCTGTTCAGATGGGAATGCGCGAATATATCTGAGAAGCGCTAATATTGGTTTGCAATGCGATGAAATCCCATCTTGGCATTTCTGCCTCTCGCAATTGCTGCGTATATTTATCGGAGAAGTTCTGTGGCGTTGTTATCAAATGAAGAACACATGGGAGTATTTTTTCCACTTCTCTACTACTCTCAAACCTCGACATTTTGTCAAACCTTTTTTCCATTCAACCTTTTTTTTGAAACATCCCCAACAACCACAATTAATTCTGTCATTAAACTTCCAAAACAAACAGATAAAATCATCAACAGATGCATATCACCAAGTCCTAAGTAGATATTGCTAAATTGATCTTTATTTTACCATTTTTCATGTAATGCTTGTTGGTAAATCTGTTATCTATCGTTAATACAGCACATTTGACTATGTTGTAGTGTAACTTTTTTGGCCTCACATTTTTGATATTTGTATTCAGATCTCTTGGCCTTGGGGCTCTGTCAAACAAAGTTACATATAAAATATTGGTTGTAAGTTGCAAAACATGATCATGTTGTTGGAATAACTCGGCATTTTACCACCCGTATATATATCATTCATTGTCGAGAATAATAAGGAAATCATAAAATTTAAAACCCGTTTTCGTGAATTTTTTGTTGTAGCTGAATTCGAGGGACAGCATGACAACAGGCAAGAGAAGCACGGTAGCCTCTCATAGTTTATGACAGGGTTTCCTAAAGGGGACCCTGGCCTCCTTGGAGGCCACTGATCGGTTATCTGGGAGCACGAACAAACAGTATTTTTATAGAAGAGAAGAAGCAAAAGTGTTGAAAGTCTGTGGTAGTTTGAAAAGCATTGGCATGGAACATAAAAATGAACTACATTATTTCCCAGGGATATATATATATATACTATAAAATGCAGCAATTTTCTCATTCTTGTTCTCGTGATAGCATTATCTTTCACTGCATCGTCGTGATCATCCCGCTGCATAACAATCCTTGCTAGCAAATAATTGATTGTTTTCCACCGGGTGTATATCCACTTGAACCACTGCCGGCCGCATTAGCAGGCTTGTATTGTTAATTGCAACAAGAGCGGGTATTTTGAAATAGTACTCTTTATTTTACGCGTATGTTTCAACAGTATTTCCATATATATGGGTCGCGACTCAAAGCTGGGTTCAAAAAATACCTAAAAGTTATTGATTTTTATTTCATAGTAAATTTGGTGCTTCCGTTGTTTGTGCACCAAGATGGCGCACAACCTGAACATAGTATTGTAACAGGTTATGGTTCAGGTTGTGCGCCATTATGGTGCACAGATTCGATGAAAAACACTAATACAAATATCAAGCCGTAAAAATATTGCTCAAGGCTGCAAACTCCACACCCGGGGTACTTCGGTTGTACGTGGCAACGCGCAGTTTCATTCTGTTGCATAAACTTTCACTTGTTTAGGGACCTATATATATGATTTCTGCCGAGCATTTGATGCAACAATATGTAGCCACAGTGTCACGTTCATTGAAACCATGTGTATGAGAAGTAAAGTTTGGTAATATTGCTTGAGTGCTTGGTGGTTTTCAACTGATTTAATAATATCCATCTTTTGTCATTTTTGAATCGGGGTTCCAGTAAATCTTAACATTAGATCGCAAAAATGAAGAATCATTACGCAACTGCAGTACCAACTAGTAGAATGACAGCAGTGTGTGTTTGTGGGGAGGGGGTGGGAGATTAAATCACCATTCTTACTCTTTACTCTTTCACTATATAGAAAAACATTGCGCATTTTTCATGCAATCATAAAGCATGCAGAGCAAATCTTCTCAGTGCCAACAGCTTTTAGAACGGTGTGAGCTCAGAAGCAAAGAGTCTCCGAATGTGAATAGAATTTGATTTGAAAAAAAACTCACTCAGTCCGACAAGTGGAGTTTTAAGTATTCTGTGGCGTCTGCAGCTGCCGCAAAACCATGGCGGTATTTCCATACCATGGCCGCTACGGCCAAACCTATGGCGACTGACTTTTTAGCTGCCACAAACCAATATCGAGCTGCCGTTACCGCGGCAGCAAATTGAAAACCAATGGCAGGTAAAATTTTGCTGCCGTAACCGCGGCAGGTGGGCCGTAGGGACAGGGCTGTCCCTTAGGGTGACAAATATTGGGTAAGTTGGAACGTTTTTCTTATGGATACAGTCTTGATGGATTTGGGGTTAGGGTTTAAGTAGATATAATTCCGCATGATCAATTAGAATTTGGTACATTAGTTTGTGAATATACCGTTAATACTGATTACTGAATACAGAATAGCGCTATGAAACCATGGAAAGAGCTGCCGCGGTTCGTTCGTGGCAGGAGCTGCCATGAAGTGGTAAGAAGTGGTTTCGCTATCTCATGCTCTTGAATAAATACCTCCAGAAGTCGTCCCAATTCCCAACCGTGAACAGCAACCTCGCCACCATTGAGATGGAGAGGCTCACTGACCACGACCATCCTGCTACCCGAATGAACCAATTCAAGTACAGGGCATGTTTATTGTTTGAATTGCACTCCGCAACAACTCGCGAACGCTTGGTATTTTGAGAGTTCCACCTGTTATCGCGACGACGCACACAGAGAGGATTAGTCTGCGTAGTTTGGTCGAGCAGTCACATTCGGCGAACATTGTAAAAGGTAACCGAAGTCCGTCAGACAGGCACGTGGGAAAAGCGCGAGGCTTAACTGTATTGGCCTTGGAAAATTTTGCAGCGAGGAGCTACAGCGAGCATCGCGCTATGACCAAGAAGTATTTTATGAATTCCTATTCTACTGCAGTAAAACATGGGGTGGCGGGGAAAATTCTGATTGTTGGATATGAAA